GGTTAAAGGCATTGCTCGGTTCAAAGGAAGAAAAAGAAGCTATTGAAGGTAACGAGATTGTGTCTAAACTGAAGTCTGAGATTGAAACGTTAAGAAGGGACCTTGAGAAAGTTAGTATCATTGAGGGTAGTTTGAAAGAGCATGAAGAATCAGTTGAACAGCTTCATGTTGATCTAGAAGCTGCTAAAATGGCTGAATCTTGCGCTAATAGCTTAGCAGAAGAATGGAAGAAGAAGGTTCATGAACTTGAAAAACAAGTTGAAGAAACAAATAGATTGAAGACATCTGCTTCAGAATCTGTGGAATCAGTTATGAAGCAGCTGGCTGAATGTAATCATATGCTGCATGAGACGAAATCCGAAAATGCTGCACAAAAAGAAAAGCTAGAGTTGCTAGAGAAAACAATTGAAGCGCAGAGAACAAATCTTGAGGAATCTGGACGCCAGGTTTGCATCGCAAAAGAAGAAGCTTCTAACATCGAAAAACTTGTTGAATCATTAAAGTCTGAGCTTGAGATCTCTGAAGAGGAAAAAACTAGGGCCTTGGTCAATGAAAAGACTGTAACATCAAATATTCAGAATCTATTGAATGAAAAGACAGAACTTTCATCTGAATTGGAACGCTGTAAGATGGAAGAAGAGAAAAGCAAGAAAGATATGGAGAGCTTGACGTTGGCGTTGCAGGAAGCATCTAGTGAAGCAAGGGAAGCAAAAGAGAAGTTATTGGCATGTCAAGAGGAGTTCAAGCACTGTGAATCCCAGTTTGAAAGTTTGAAATTGACTTCAAAGGAGACAAATGAAAAGTATGAGCAAATGCTTGAGGATGCTAGAAATGAAATTGATAGTCTAAAAAGTTCTGTAGATAGCATCCAGAATGAGTTTGAGAACTCTAAGGCCGGGTGGGAACAGAAAGAGGTTCATCTGATGGGCAGTGTGAAGAAATCAGAAGAAGAAAATTCGTCTTTGCAGGAAGAAGTAAGCAGGCTGGTGAATTTGCTCAAAGAAAGTGAAGAAGAGACACGTGCAAAGAAGGAGGAAGAAGCCAATCTAAAAAAGAATCTCGAAGAAGCTGAAGGGGAGGTAAAGTATCTACAGGAAACACTTGGAGAAGCAAAAGCTGAAAGCATGAAACTGAAAGAGAGCTTGTTGGACAAAGAAGATGAGCTAAAGAATGTCATGGCAGAGAACAGCAGCCTCAGAGAATGGGAAGGTTCTGTACTTGAGAAAATCGAGGAGTTGTCGAAGGTAAAGGAAAGCTTGGTTGATAAAGAAACCAAGTTAAAGAGCGTTTCTCAAGAAGCTGAAGAGCTGAAAGCAAAGGAGGTTGCTCATGTGAAGCAGATTGAGGAATTGACAATGGCAAATGGAAACTTGGTTGATAACGTAACCAAATTGCAGATCATTGTTCAAGAAAGTGAGGATCTTAAAGAAAAGGAAGCTGATTATCTTAAGAAGATTATGGAGTTATCAGTAGTGAATGAGACCCTTGCTGATAACGTAACGGATTTACAAAGCATTGTTCAAGAAAGTAAGGATCTCAAAGAAAAAGAGACTGCTTATCTTAAGAAAATTGAGGAGTTGTCAGTGGCAAATGAGAGCTTGGTTGATAAAGAGACCAAACTGCAGCACATTAATCAAGAGGCTGAGGAACTCAGAGGAAGGGAGGCTGCTCATTTGAAGAAGATTGAGGAGTTGTCAAAGACCAATGAGAGCTTGGTTGATAATGTAGCCAATATGCAAAGCATTGCGCAAGAAAGTAAGGATCTCAGAGAGAGGGAGGCTGATTATCTTAAGAAGATTGAGGAATTGTCAATGGCGAATGGGACCTTGGCTGATAATTTGTCCAATCTGCAGAAATTATCTGAAGAAAGTAAGGAGCTCAGAGAAAGAGAGAGTACATTACTTAAGAAGACAGAGGAGTTGTCAGAACTGAATGAAAGCTTAGTTGATAAAGCGAGCAGATTGCAAACAGTTGTTCAGGAAAATGAGGAATTGAGAGAAAGAGAGACTGCGTATCTACAAAAGATTGAGGAGTTGTCAAAACTGCATGAAATGTTATCTGAAAAAGAAAGCAGCCTCCAGAGTTCTATTCATGAGAAAGAGGAGCTCAAAGAAAGGGAGACCGCATATCTTAAGAAGATTGAGGAGTTGTCGAAGGTGCAAGAGGATCTGCTTAATAAAGAAAATGAGTTGCATGATATGGTCGTAGAGATTGAGGACTTGAGATCCAAGGACTCTCTTTCCCAAAAAAAGATAGAAGAGTTAACAAATTTCAATGCAAGTTTGCTCGTGAAAGAGAATGAGTTACAGGCTGTCGTCTGTGAAAATGAGGAGCTGAAGTCCAAGGAAGTTTCATCACTAAAGACGATAGACGAGCTGTCAGACCTGAAAGAAAGTTTGAGTCACAAAGAAAAGGAGCTGAAGGCTGCAATTGTTGAAAACGAGAAGCTCAAGGCTGAAGCAGCCTCATCCCTCCAGAGGATTGAAGAGTTGACAAATCTTAAACAGAGTTTGATAGATAAGCAGAACGAGCTGCAGGGTGTCTTTCATGAAAACGAGGAGCTTAAGGCCAAAGAGGCTTTGTCTTTGAAAAAGATTGATGAGTTGTTACATCTAGAGCAAAGTTGGCTTGATAAGGAAAGTGAGTTTCAAAGGGTTACTCAAGAAAACCAACAGCTTAAAACGCAGGACGCTTTAGCAGCAAAGAAAATAGAGGAGTTGTCGAAGCTGAAAGAGAGTTTACTTGACAAAGAAACCGAACTTAAAGGCAGGGAAGCTGCCGCCCTTGAGAAAATGGAAGAATCATCAAAGCTTGGAAACGGTGAGCTAACCAACATCGGAAAAGATTATGACTTGGTTCAGTTTTCCGAAGTAAATGGTCCTAGGAATGGGGATGTAAAGACAACGACTGATCCTTTTCAACACAGAAGCAGAGAACATATGGTACAAGAAAGTCCCATGGAAGCAATTGATAAACATTTGATGGGGGAAAGAGCAATGACTCATAGGGTGCCGCACAGTGTTGAAGGAGAAGGGAAAGTAGATAAAGAATCTGTGGAGCCTGAGTTGAAGATGTGGGAGAGCTACAAGATAGAAAAAAGCGACGTATCTCCCGAGAGAGAGACCGAGCTCGACTCTGTAGAAGAGGAAGTTGAGTCGAAAGCAGAAGGCAGTGAGAACATGGATCAGTACAGCAATGGCTTCTCTTCAACAGACCACACTGAAGATTCCGGAAATCTCCTGTTAAAGGAACAACAGATGAAGAAGAAGAAACCTTTGCTCCGGAAATTCGGAAACCTGCTTAAAAAGAAGAGTACAAGCAGTAGCAGTCAAAAGTAGAGGAGGGTGATCTCTTTGCGACAGGGCTTTTCTTGGTTTACACGTTTATCCTATGGCTCTATATTTGATCTATGCTTTCACATGGCTACCAAATCAAGATTTAGATTGTCTATGACTTTAGACACTGCCCTTTGATCTTGTTCTCTTATTTTTTCTTCTTCTTGAAGTTGTTTTTTCATTGTGTCGTCGATGGTTTTAGCGTATCGCAAGGATTTTGAACATTTCATTCATAATCTGCAAGATTCTGTATAGAAGCAGGGTTACTTTATCCAGAACGAATTGTCGTTGTTTCTCCTTTATTCTAACATTCTTTTAGAGTTGTGAATGTCCAAAACACCACCAAGTTTTTTCAGTTTCTGAAGCGTTTTCATGTAAGGCTTTGTAGTTAAAAGCACTATGCTACTGGTTAAGAAACGTTATTACTTACCGCAATACTTACTCTGTTGCCTGATGATACTATCCACTAGCTAAGATTATTCTGTTAACTGGAACACTGAGTATATGTTTCTTGACTACAGAAGCAGAGTCATCAGACACAACATTATTCATATATTTAACTCTAGAATCAACATTAAATCTTGTGTAGAGCTCTTTAATGAAGAGCATTCCAGAATCAGTCCTAGCTCTTATAGAAACCCTTAAGTCCTAGTCTCAAGCATGGATCAAATCAAAATGATAAATTAATTAAATACATTTAAATTATAAGAAATATATAAGCAAAATCAAATAAGCACAATTATTTATAATTAAAATTATACACAAAACCTTATGTAAAAACAGTGTAAACTAAAATATAATATATAAAAATTAAACCGCAACCGCGGGTTCGAAACTATAAAAAATTATAGGTTTATTTAAACTATAAAAATTATAAATTATAAGAAATATATAAACTAAAATAATTATTTAAACTCAAAAGAATTTTTGAATTTGTATACAAACTCTTACGTAAAAACAGTGTAAACTAAAATATAATATGTAAAATTTATCTCGCAGTGTACCGCGGGTCCAAACCTAGTTTATATATAGAATATAACTCATTTTTTAATTGATATACCCATTATTCACGGGTATCGTAAATTCAAATGGGGCGAATGCATACACTAGACATGTGGGTTTCTTGAAATAAGTTTTTATATGGATAAAAACTTAGGTCATCCGATTAATATTTTAATTTATACTTGCAATTTTTGTTCGATTTGGTAGTTTATGCATTTAATTTTCACTCAATTTTAAAATACTAATCAATTGGCCGATACAAAAGTATGAGTCCGTGTTGTAGCACGGGTAAGTAACTAGTAAGTTGTATAAACAATTATTAGTAAGAAAAATATTTGGTTTTTTTTTTTTTTGGAAATGGTAATTGTACATATAACATTTCTCAATGAGATTAATATGTAAATTAATTTTTATAATAATTTATATTTCTTTTTACCTTATTTGTTTTCTTAAAACACCCCAAAAATTAGATTAAAACATGTGATTGATTATTCTAATTAGATCATCATACAAAACTAGATTATGTCAATGACGGATTTATCACACAAGTTAATAAAAGAAGAAAGCATTTCAAGATATATATATCAGGATATAGCTTTACGCTTTGAGGTTGCTTTTCATTGTGTCGTCGATGGTTTTAGCTTATAATATAAGAAGAAAGCATTTCCAAAAAAAGGTTGATACTCTTGTAAATAATAAACTTACTTCTGTCATGGAAATTGCAATTAACATAGTACAGATATTTATACAACCTTCCGCTGCCTGAATTGTAGTAGACTCACTTCACAGTTAGGCACTTAGTGAAATGGAAACGAGTGACGATAGCTTGAATTTCTTCACCTTTGTTGAGTCTCTTAGCTGAAACATAACCTCGGTGCTGGACCGGACAGTCACTTCTTTAGACTCTTCCCCGGAACTGCCTTCACTTCTATAGTCCCTATACGAGTACAGAACCTGCAACCTCGAAGGAGCTGCAACCCAAATCATTATTAAATTAGTTACACACGCGAATGCGAAAGCAAATGCAAACAAATAATATCAAGTTCTAAAGAGAAATTACCTAATCCAAACATGCTTGTTTTCTGAATAGAGATACGGTCGACTTTTGATCTTTTGATGTTTCTTAAAGCGGCGGTATCTTCCTGCTTTCCTTTAAACTCGAGGAATTCCCCTAACACGATTTTGCTACTTTTAAGCTCCAATCTGCAGCATAATCAGCAGTTTATGAAAACTCTTTGAACACAGCTACTTTATCAAGGGTTTAAGAGAACTTAAAATTCTCAGCAACTCAAACACAATATAAACTGAATGTCAATAATAATAAGTGGTATGAGCATGACCTATCCCACATTGGTGCTGTGCCAAGGATGAAATTAGTTTTTTGATGCGACGATTCCTGCATCTCTTTTCCTGTGCTGAATGCGCCTTTGACCCAACCAGAAAGTTTGCTTTTTGATACTGGTTTCATGAGTTGCCACTCTTCATAGGTAATTACCTCACTTGGGAATGCATGAATTGTACTGAAAAGAAAAAAACAGAAACATATCTTTATGCACCACTAAGAAAATAATGAATGTCTTTCCAGACTAAGATGGCCATGCCCACACACGCACTATAAGATGTTCTGTAATAATAACAAGTGATGTTTTCTTGCTAGCTCTGGCAAACATGACGATATTGATGGTAGTAAGGATAACAAATACATACCGAAAACTTGGATTAGGAATCACAACTTTGCAAGACAGATTTCCTTCTAGTAAAGTAACACCCCTCTGTTCAAGATATGATTCAAGAACTGAAGCTTGTTTCTTGACCTCAGCAAGCTGAGAGAAAACAAGATTCCACAAGTTAGAAACTAAGTTGCATAGATAAATAATGCAGTTCAGCTTTCCATAGATGGATGATGCAGTTCAACTTTGCATAGATGGATGATGCAGTTCAACTTTGCTTTGACAAGAAAAACACATTCACTATGTCCAGCTTCATTCGTGTAATCACTAATCAGCAAAATCTCTAACCTCAATCTAGAACATCAAATTACAGAAACTCACACAACAACAACAACAAATCATCCTTGGATGTTCAATCTATATAAGAATTGTGTAATGTTACACAAAGCATCAAACAAAACAAATTCACTGTGTCCAGATCTATTCGTGTAATCAGCAAAACCCCTATAACCCTCTAAATGTAATCAGCAATAGTCTTTTCATATATCCTTCTCAATCTAGAACATCAAATTACAGAAAATCACACACAACAACACCAAATCTTTGGATATTCAATCTATATAAGCATTGTGTAATGGTTTGCACAAAGAATCAAACAAAACAAAGGCCAATCAAAACTTACAGGATCAGGGTAAGTCTCAGTAGTATGATGATGCTTGCCACCTTCACAAACCCAGCTACCATCACTCGCTACAGTAACAATCCCAGATAGATTCTTCACAGCAACCACAAAAACTTCATCTTTAGTGACGAGAACAATATCAACGTCCTGTCTAGAACTAGTATCGGCATCTGGAATTCGAAGCCCTACAAAAGCCTTTCCACCGTAAAGCTTCTCGAGTCTGTAAAATCAATGGAATTTTTCAAAATCAGATTCAGTTGAATCTTCGATAGGTAAATAGAGAATCGAAGATTAGGGAACCTGTGAGCAACGGAGAAGAGAGCGGTGGAATCGGAAGTCTCGACGTCGGCGAATTCGTCATCGGAGAAGAAACGGCGGACGAGTTGGTATAGGACGAGACCGCAGATGATCTCCATCCACATCTTTGCTTCTTCTTCTTCTGATGATGATGATGATGATGATTTGGGAATTGGAGAATGGAGAGAATAGAGAGAGAGACGATTCTTGGAAACTAAGGAAATGTGAAAACCTCAGCTGAAGTAAACAACAAATTCAGTATTTTTTTAATAAAATAAAAAATTATATAAAAAGTTATATATTTATCAGACTACTATAATTTCTAAATAATAATTTATATTGTTGATTGTTTTTTAATTAAAATTTAGTGAATTATATACACCTTAAGTAAGTTTTTGGCATATATTTATGTATTTATTTAATTTTGAGTAAATTGTGAACCAACCATTTTTTATTGTATTAGGTAATTTTTTTTGTGTTTCTTTTACCTAATTTTCATTGAAAAACTAAAAGAATAAAAGGTTAAATATTTGATAGGTGTGGAAAACACATCAATGAATCTAATAAACTATTAAAAGCAATAAAAGAATCATAATCATATTGAATAAAAATCTTACATAGTACAAATTTCAAATTTTAATTTTAATTTTCAAGGTCTTTTCATATTAGTTATCGAAATTATGAAAATTTTAATTAAGTTAAAAATTTATTTATGATGTTATTTCGGTTTAGAATTTAACTAAGTTTGAAGAGTAAATCCCATTTGTTAATTAAATATGACTCATACTCGACCAAATCGATTTTATTCCATAAATAATAGATTCAACACGATTTTTTTCTTAAATTTGCATCGGTCTAACTTTACACGACAATTAACATCTTTCCACAATGACATAAAATTTCACCATCTTTTACATGAAGCTTACTTTTCCTTTACTTATGTTAAATTCATTTTTGGAATAATTGCTTCATTTATCATTTCATCAACTTCAATTAACTTAATTTTTGAAGTTAAAATTCTCATTCTTTCTCTTTTTAGCTTGTGAAACTAAAGGTTAGCTATTTCAAGTCAGTATTCACACCATTTGAAGAGAAAGAAACTGCAGGCACCATGAGGAGTCTCCGAAAAACGCAAGCCAATAATAAGGTGGATTGATGAACAAGTTTGCAAAAAAACTCTCAACCATTCAAAGGCAGGGAGATCAACGAAATGCGCATGGGCTTCAAATCTGGTTCCAATTTCGTATTTGAGTTTTTGGGATCGTGATTTTATGATTTTTTTTTATTTATCGACCATAGTTCTTTTGTAGCAAAAAGATTTAATGCATCCGTTGCACTGATTGTAAAAAGTTAATTTTCTTTTGACTATAATTTAACATCAATTTCAAAAAAAAAAACTAAAGATTATAGAAATGTATTTATTTTAGATTTCAAGTTTTTTTCTAGTTTAGAAAAAAATAATTCTCGAATACATGGATTATTTTTCTTAACCCAAGTTAGAGACTTATCGTAATAACAAATAAAATTAAACACTATGAATATAGTTATCAAAATTTGAGCATGAAATATTTTAAAACAGATGTAAAATTAAAGGTTTAAATATTAAAATGGAAAAAACAGTTAATTTGTGTATTTTTCTACATAAATCATTAGTGTATTTCAATGAAAAGTGATGAGATTTTTCCAATAATATTTGATTCAGTGGCCACATTTTCCCAACTGTCATTACAAATTTACCTTACTTCTAAAAACTAGAATTTAACCCGCAGTACACCGTTAGACGATATTTTAAAATGATTTTTTAAAAATTTTTGTTTGGTATATAAATGTTTACTACTGTATTTTGATTCTTAATTCTATAATTTAACCCATGGAATAGGGCATGATAATTTGTTGTATATAATCGTAATTTGATCAACTTAACTAAATAAGTCTAATATTCAAAATAATGAAATGATGTTGGCAAAGCATCTCTCGTTTAAATAGTCTAAATTCAAATTAAAATATTTTGTGAGCTTGACTATAGTAGACAACCCGTAAAAACATATATTGTATGTAATTTATAACTCGTTCCATCACATAATCCGTGGTACACAATTATCAATAATATTTTTAGTACATACATTTTTGTATCGATTGAGTATTATACGTCCGTTTTCAAAAATTCAAATTGCAACATATGCAAAAAATTATATTTTTACAATACCTATATTTTATGTAATAATATAATTTTCAAAACAGATAAGAACATATAAAGATATTGGAAAAATATTTAATTTATTAGGGAGAGAATTTATGAAATTTTGTTAAATGTAAGAAATATTGATTTCCAATTTTGCAATTTTACAATGATTTAATTACCAAATTTAATTTAAAATTTTGTTATTTATTCAAATTGAAAAGTGTTAATTATGCAAATAATATAAAATAAAAAGTTATAACCCAAATGATACTTCAAAAATATTAATATAGATATTATTAAACTCCAACGATGTATGAGACTGCGGTTTTAACTTTGTTTTTTGGGAAACCTATTAAAACATGCCAAAAAATAATTTTAATTATCAAAATAGGCCAAATCTTTTAAAATTAAATAACTAGGTTTTTAATAAATAAAAGGGAAACAAACATACTAACTAATTTTTTTTGACAAAAAGTTATTCTTTTTCTTTTTTTCTCTATAAAAGCAGTAAAATCAGTTAAAATTAAAATTTCTTTCCTTATTTTTCTCCACTCCAGTTAGTCTCTTTCTGCACTTCTTCTTCTTCTATGTGGCGTAGCTTTCTAGAGAGTAATTTAGGTCGTGCACCGTGATTTTTCCTTAAGCTAATCTTCAGCTCTTTCTCATACTCTCTGCTCGGTTCGTGTTTTCAAAGCTACAATTTTTTTATTTTACGAGCTGATTTTGTTGATCGAGAGGGCCGTGTATAACAAGCATTATACTGTACTTCATCAAACAGCTCGTCAACGTCGGTTACTCATCCATCGCCTCAACAACTCGTCCAATTTTTGAAACGTAGATTACTTTCATTAATATTTTTTATTTTGGTGTAATGCAGAATTTAAATTCGAGATGTCTACTATTAATGAAGATTCTTTCATTCTACCGACTAAACTTTACAATCTGAAAAATTTACTAAACAACTCTATGAAATTAAATCTACGGAACAACCTTATAACATTTAAAAACTTAGGAGACAACTCTGCAAAATAACTTTTTCGTAATAGTTTACTAAACTTATTACAATATGTTCATAATTATTCGTAAAGTAACTGGAGAAATTCTAAATCTGATTCGTAAAGTAACTTATCACCAAACATACTGTATAATAACTGATGAGTATGCAAGAGAAGATGACGAAGAAGGAGTGGATAACGGGCCACAACAAGCAGGCCCAGTTCGGCAATCCACAAGAACTCGAAGGCCCAATAAGAAGTATTTGGTTTAAGGAGACTTAGTCTCTGTTTCTGTTTTGTTTCTGCAAATAAGAGAATGGGTCTTCCTCTTTGTTAGGATCCACTCTACCCTCTTTTCCATAATTCCTTGTTTTGTAGGAGTGGTGATCACTCCATCGCATTGTTGTATTTTGCTATTTAAGAAAATGAAAAAGCCAAAAAGAGGCAATATCAATTGCCCAAAAATCTGAGTCTTATTATCTTTGAGTCTTCTTGATACTAAAGTTGTGATTCGACGAGGTCATAGCTATCAATTGGTATTCATAGCTTTGTTTTTCCAACCAAAATTTTTTTTTCTTTCCTTTTCCCCCACCACACGACCACACCTTCCACCACAACCCATGGCTACTAACAAAGAACGCATTTCCGATATGGAATTAAGTCTAGGCTCTATGCAAGACGAGATCCAGATCCTGACAGACAAGTTCCACGGTCTCGAGAGTTTGATTCAGCGCATGGGAGAAAACAACCAACGCATTACCGAGGAGAATAAGACCGCTTTGAACCGCCTGCTTTCATTGGTCTCCAACAACAATGCCGACAGAACTGTCATCACCCAACGTGAACCACGACGCTACGACAACAACGTCCCTGCCCTCTCTTGCCACGTCAAACTCGATCTTCCCGGTTTCACCAGCGGTGACCCGACGGAGTGGATTGGTAAAGCCAAATAGTACTTCACTTATCAGGAGATTCCCGACAATCAACAAGTCAGTCTTGCCTCGTATCACCTCACCGCCGAAGCTAACGAATGGTGGCAGGTTATTTCTAAACGCCTTGGCACTTCCGCACTCGACAGCTTTGGAAGCGTTTTGGTCCGACACAGGGACCACACTTTCACGAAGCGTTGTCCAAAATCCAACAAACCGGATCCTTGCGTGAATACCAGAGAGAATTTGAACAACTCTAAAACAAAGTCCAAAATTGGTCCGAAGATGCACTCGTGGGCACATTTCTCGGTGGCCTCAACTCAGGCAATGCCGCTCAAGTCCGCATGTTCTCACCAAAAACCCTCCAAGAGGTGTTCAATTTAGCTCGTCTCAGTGACGAACAGCTTCAGACACAAAAGAAGACCTTCCTTCCCCGCACAACATCACCACAACCCCGTTTTTCACCCGCAAACCAGACACCACGTACGACTGATCCCTCCTAACGACTCCACCACCCCGACACCCAAACGTCTCAACTGGGAAGAGATGAAACGCAAGCGCAGCCTCGGCCTTTGTTTCAGCTGCGATGAACGCTATAGCCCTGGTCACAAATACAAAACGTCTCAACTTTTACTCATGATAGGTGAAGACGACGAAACAGATGACGAGGAAGAGGAGTTCCATGAGGCCGGTGATCCAGAGATCACACAATTCAGGTCCAAGCTCGAATCAACCGCCAAGATCTGGCTTCTCTTGTCGACAGCGGATCCACACATATCATCAGCGAACGAGTCGCCAACAAACTCAACCTCAAATCGACCCCGACTAAACCGTTTAACGTCAAAGTCGCTGACGGTCACCCTCTTCGTTGCACACGGGCGCCTACTGACAGGTCTCTCTGGAATTGGGATCGACGAGTTTCATCATCGACATATTCGTCCTGCCTCTCACATGAGTGGTTTTACTCGCAGGGGCTGAAGAGGAGTTTCTATACTCATTTGTCTATGCTTCTAATTTTAGCAGAGGATCGTCGTGAGCTTTGGGATGATCTCAAATATCATCAAGACTCTCCACTATTTCGAAATACACCGTGGATGGTTTGTGGTGACTTTAAGGAGATTCTGGATGGGGAGGAACATTCAAATTTCGTTTAGACTTTAGAAATAGTGGAGATAGTATAGATTTGTACTATACGCTAAAATGTTTAGATAGTATAGATAGTATAGACTTTAGCTTAAAATGTTTACTGTGTTGTATAAATATTTGGTGTTTAATAGTATAGATTTGTACTATATGCTAAACAGAATAGTGTGTATTATTGTACATTTGTAAATTCCTTTGGTTTTAATATACGTACGCATACATCGTATGTTTCGAAAAACCGTAAAATATATCGAGCACGGTAGTTACCTCAACCCTTGTTAATAAAAATGAATTATTTAAATAAAATTATCTCATAGGGGATGACCCGTGCTTTCGTACGGATGACGGGTTTTTAAATAATGACTAAAATATAATCTATTAATCAGTTTTGTATTAATATTTAGTATTCAATAGTATTAGATACACAGAATAGCGTGATTGCTTATATATTTTAATTTTAATTCTATAGACACTAAATCGCTTATTGATTTGTATATTTTAACTATAAAAAGTAAATAGCGTGTGTATATTAGGTTTGATTTTAATAAAAATATGCACATATTGGTTTTAATTTGACATGTATATTTTGTATGTAAGGTATTGTGTATTTGAATATTTTTTAACAAATAGTTTTAGAAAAAATTTAGTAGACTAATGGATATTTGTAAACTCGATAATCTTATTTGTATAATTTTTTTTATTATTGTAAACTTAATTTGGCCTATAACATTAGAGTTTGATTTTGGATATGGCTAGATAATTGTGTATAGTTTTAAAGCACCCGTTAGGTTCATATTTTTGTTGAAATATACCCGATCATATTCTTACGGGAGCTTAGTTTAATTTCTTTTTGATAAAATAAAAAATATTAGAGATATTTGTTAATCATTTTACGGTAAATATATAATTAATATATGATAAATTAATCATTTTTTGGGTTGAATCTAAAAATAAATAATTGAAATTCAGCTCGGAGTTTGGCTATCTTTTCTTTTTCTTTCTTTTGATTTTGTCTCGTTACATCTTAAAATAAATTGCTTTAAAAAAATAAATGGCCACGCCTTTAACGTGTAATCAAAATTCATGAAATCTTTGTAGGAAATTTTATTTCTAGTCTTACCAGTTTATATTTATACTTTGTATTTCGTAATCCAGATTTTGAAGACCATTTTTTCTTCAAAATCTGCATTGGACCTATACTCCAATTCGTTATATGAATCTCTTTTTCAGGCTTTCCCGGTCTAGACTTCTCTTGCTTAGGCTTCTCCAACTATGTTAAATTGGAATCCTACAAAAAAATACTTATGCTCCAATTGGTGACCACTTTTTAGGAATAGAATGAAGAGGAATGTGGTGTTCCTCATTGTTCCTCAATTTTTGCTACCATTTATGCATAATGTTTTTTCAATTTTCAGATATGTGGGATCTAGTATTATTCCTATTCATTCCTCAAATAAAAAGGAACAACAGTTCAAAAATGTTCCTACTCAAAATTGTAGAGGAACAATGAGGAACAAATATTATTTTCGTTTTTTTATAATTTAATATTTTAAAAATATTTATATAGATAATTTTGACATTTCTATATATAAATACTTTAAAAAATTATTATATATTTTAAATAAAATATTATTTCATCATAATTTTCACTTTCTATTAATGTTTTGAATTTATATATTATATTAGAAAAATATTTAAAGAAATTTAAAATAGGTTTTAACTTAAAACATTTATTAATGTTTTAAAATATAAAAAAATTAAATTATTATATTAAGTATTATAATTTAAATGAAAGTTCTAAACTAAATTTCTTTTTAAACTTAAATTTATTAAATAATTTTTTGTATAAATTATTTAAATTATTTAAGTTTACTTGTTCAGTTTTTTGGTTACCATTTACTGGAACATTTGTTCTATTTTTTCTCAGCATTTATTCCTTTTTTTTATGAGAATTCTTTTCCTGTTTGTTCTTTTTTATTTTTGTTCATTTTCGTTCTTTTTATTCCTAAATGGGTTACCAATCGGAGCCTTAGTTATTATCAGTTTATTTAAGTAAGAAATAATAAAGAATAACTTTATAAAACAAATGATGAAAGAAATGTTAATTTAATTATAACACATTGAACCAAACAATATTAATTAGGAAAAGATGATATAGGACTAAAGAAAAAGGAGAGTAAACAATGACGATGATATCATATTGTGTATACGATGGATTATTTATAGTGCTTGCACTACAAGAAAACATGTCGATATCCTACGAAAATTTCTTCAAAATAAATGGTAGGAAAATTTTCCTACGAAAAAACTTCGCATTTATGACGAAAACGCAAAAGGGTAGGAAAAAGGAAGAGCATTTAACTACGAGAAATGGTGTCAGAAAGTGGAAGGAATATTTCCTACCAATTTCTTTTAAATAATAGTTTCGTAGGAAATGGTGAAGGAAATAATGCGGAGAGAATTGGGTAGGATTTTTTCCTTCGAAATGCCTTCAACTGAGAAGTGGTAGGAAATGTCGTAGGAAATCGGTAGATATATCGAGGGAAATCATTTCGTAGGAAATTAGAAGGAAACAATAATTTGTAGGAAATTAGTTTCTAACCTTCTAAACACAAAACATATATTTATAATTTGCAAGAAATAAATTTGTAACCTTCTAAACACAAAATAGATATTTATAATTTGTTTCTAAAGTACTAATTTGTATCATATATTTTATTGGGCCTATAATTAAAATTATAAAGTATCATTTGTATAAAAATATAAAATTAATTAAAATTATAAAGTATCATTTGTATAAAAAGATAAAATTGATTAATTTTAATGAAAAGAAGAAGAAATTATTAAGCATGGTGCTTAATCAAGGATTTTAATTGGAGGAGGAAAAAACATGAAAAATATGAAAATTGCTTTATTATCATCTCAAATCTTAATAATGTTACTAAAAGTTAAGCCCGTTAATAGTCCAGCTC